TTGCTTACTATTCAACCTATTGGGCTGGGATTTGAATAACCCCTGAATTCTAGCCTTGACAACTCTTGATATACCTCTGCCCTCATCCAGAGGCCTTCGATGCGCACGTATTTCACCTTGACATAGTGGACCCCACTGATGCTTCAAGTGGGAAATACAGGAGTTCAAACTGTCAGTGGTAACAGTGGTGTTGCTAACCTTACCAATTTAATGGACTTACTAACAACTTAAGAAGGTTTAGGACTTTAATTAGTGGATGGTGACTAGCAGTGTAATCTAGGATGCGCATTTCGTCCTATTTGGGGCTCGTCAACTAGCTGGATGTACCTGCATTCCCCAGTGAGTGATGATGCTTCCACCATCGAGGCTCGAACCCAGTGCCCATAGTTTCAAACGCCAAAGCGTTATCCACTAGACCACTTGGGCCACGAGAGCCACCTCTTGTGCAACGAGTCATGTTAATTTAATTGAAACTATGGGCACTGGGTTTGAGCCTCAGTGGGAACATCATCACTCACTGGGAAATGCGGGTACATCCAGCTGGTTGACGAGTCCCAAATAGGACGAAATGCGCATCCTGGTTGGATTCCACTGCTAGTCATCATCCACTAATTAATTTCTAATTAAATGCCCAGACATCGTCGAAACATCTGCACAAGAAGCTGACAGACATGTCAACCTGAAACCAAGCACTTCGGCCCAATCAATCGACGGGAAAATCTAAAATTCGATTTAAATATAAGAAAAAGAGGTTTAGGGGTGTCTTGGGCTAGAATCAAAATCCCAGTCACATCTGTGTGTTGGGTTTGTAATCATTCAGCCACTGAAACCGCTGATGTACAAAGGGTCTCATGCACTGATTACTATCTTCCAATCAGGCATAGTAAACTGCCACCTAAATAAGTGACGTATGCATATATGAACTTTTAAACTGTACTTCTGTTTTGATGTCGAACCTTAAGAGGTGACTTTAACAAAAACGATTTGGAAATGACAGCTTGATTATGAAACGAAATACCTGGATAGATCAGCGAAGTTTCATATATAATATGTGGTTACAAAGTTCACTTGCCATTCCCCAGTAAATCTGATTACTTCTGCACATGACTGTATTCCCTCTGTTGTCTTGATGAAACTGTTGATATATATTCTCTGAGTTGGATAGTTTAATTGCAAACGTTTCATTATCCTTCTGGACAGCCTGTTCAAGGCTAACTTTCTGTATGAGTTGTCTCATGACATACTAATCTACATTAATGAATCTTCATTATTACTGTTTGTTTGTTGACAATGTCGTTCCACTTTTGAGTTGAACAGACTGATACTCTCTTCTATGATGCTATCTTTCTCATCTATATTGATGATATCCCTTTGACAATGAAAATTACTCATCCGGACCTATAAATAATCAATTTCCGATTCAACGAATCACTTATAGAACTCTGAATACATTTTCAAAAGTAAGTTTGTAGGGATTCGACTTGTTCTAACTTTGATCACAGACTGATATCAGTACTGGATAGCTCTTCATCGGAACGGACACATCACCCTACCAGGGACCAAACGTACACCACTCAGATTACCGGGTCAAGGTCGCTGACCATTAAGCCACTTGAGGATGAACTCAATAACTCATAGATTCTAACTTGTTATTTTACGAGTTTTAGCGCGACTGCCAGCCAATGCTTGTCGATGAGTATTTGTCCTTGATTTTATGATGAGAGGTCGTAACTAGGCTGGGTGTGATGACAAGTACTCGCTGATTATATTAGCTGGAGGTCGCACTATAAAACCCAAATTGGCAGGATTTAGAATTCACTGGACATCAGGCTTCAGCCTATGTGGTGAATGGTCGACGAGATCACCTTCTAGGGTCATGGGTGCGCGCCACAGAGAAGTACAAAACTTAGACGAAACAACTGTGTGGTACTTCCCGGTTTTCAATGGTTGTTTAATTGATACCGATTCGTGATCGGACTTATGAAAACATCTATTTGACAAGTCCAATATGGGACGTAAAGCTAGCAAAAGTCAAACATAGTATTTATTATTATTTCCTTTAATTCCTAGAGGAATGTCTCCACTGCGTTCGGTTCTCTGCCAACGTTTTCACCTGGCTCCAAGTCTGTCCACATGCTTTCATCTCCTTTTCACATGACCTCCAAATCACCCTTGGACAATCAACTCGCCGCTTCCCTTTCGGGTTCCACTCGAGCAATGGCTTGTCTAGGGATGTCACTTGATGCATTGTTTCCTCAGAGTATGGCCAATCCATCTCCATTTCTACCTGCCTATTTGTTTCACAATCGCTTCCTGGTTGGTTTGCTCATTTTCAGAGAT